GGGGGAGATGGGCATCGGATAAGAAAAATTACCATGGGGGCTTTGGCTTGTGCCACTGTCGTGCTGGAGGATTTTCAGCCTAACAAATCTGCTTTTTAATCTTTTATGTGCCGTATCAAGTTCAATTTTAATTACTTAATTACATAACGTCATTTTGGTGTTCTGTTGCTGTTTTCCTTTCTGCGTAGTGCTCTTTAACATTGATATAGAGATACTATTCTCTACCGCTTGAACTGTACCTTGCTTACTAATCGAATCTCTTTAAAGACCTCTTTGTCGTGCTGAGCGACATTGCAGTTTCAGCAGTCTGTGCTCTGCTTCCTCCAGATTCGTCTGCAAAGCAAAGTCTTCCTTTTTCAAATTCAAACAAACGACAGCAAAATCGCCAGTCACAATTGAGAACTAAAATTCAATCAGTATAATGTCTGGAATATGGGTGGTGGGTGGTTGACGGCTGCTCTGGTGTGGTGTGCTCTTCCTTTTTTTCTTAATTTCTGTTAAAAACCATTATCTCTCCTTCTCCTTTCCGTTGTATGTTACTCTCTAGTATTAGCTCTAATCCTCGGCACATATAATGTGACTTAATTGGGTAACAAGTGTCGTAAATCTTTCAATAAAACGTTTTAAATACACGAGAGCTGGCTGGCGTTACCTCTATTTGTGCGTTTTTTGATGCCAATGGAAGATTTTGCTAATAATGTTTTGATCTTACTTTTACTCTTGGTTGATATTCAACAGAGCTGATGGATATTGTTCTCTTTTACATTTGTCTTTGTAATCTACGACAGCAGCAGCTCTGTTACTATCATGCCTTATTAATCAATGTCTCTCTTAGTAGTAGCTTGAAGCAGATAAGTAAGACTGACTGTAGGGGCCTATTTGCCATCATCATCATCATCATCATCATCATCATCATCATCATCATCATCATCATCTTCATCTCAATAGCGTTATCATTACCTTAATCATGATATCCATCGACCAAAGATCACAATGTTGTTTCTTTAGTTCTGGGCTAACTGTCCATACATAATGTAGAGATCCATTTTTCCTGTTATCATCTAAAAGTGATCTTAACTGTGGCATAGATATTATTTGTACAAAGTATAGCACTGTGTTGTGCCCACCTTCGATTGTGTGTACATATCACACACACACACACACACACACACTCACACACACACACACACACACACACACCAAATACAACAACAACAGCAGCAGCAGCAGCAACAACAACAACAGCAACACCGCCCCCTCCCCCTCCTTTCAAGCTCTATGAAAAACATGTGTGTTCCCAAATGTTCCCACACGCATCATGTTTAATGTAAACGAAGATGAGATACAATTGATTAATGCTTTGCCACTTGATCGGCTTCCTGTCGCTCTCCACCAATCAGTGTCCCCACTCTCCCGCCCCCACCTCCAATTTTGTTTTCACTGCGTGTCCTATGCGTGCTTTTGTAACATTCCTTACGCTCTCTAAAACCTTCGAGGTCTTTCCAGTTCTTTCACAGCGGTCCTGATACAAGTAGTGGCATTGTGCTGAATGTAGAATTTAGTTTTTATCTTAGATGTCCGACCCAACCGTCTATACACCAAATTAGATCAAAGACTTCTTCTGTCTGAAATCATGATCTTTACAACTGCAATTGCAATAGATGATACTATAATAAATAGAGAGAACATTTGGCAAAAAGGTTTCACCAATGCTAGAAGATAGTAAGAGAGAAATTACCCCCCC